CTCCAACTGGTCTCCGCTTGACAACCGAATAAAAAAAGGACAATGCCATTCGAAAGAGGATTCAAAACTGATTCAGATTCCATGGGGGTCGACTATATGCATCGTTTGGGATACTGCATAAAAATTCGCTCAAAAATCGCGTATTTTGATCGGGATCTAAAATACATCCGGAACGGGCTATTTTTGATTTTTTTTAAAAAGCTTTCGTTTTGAAAGAAAATAAAAGCTGATCCACCATCAGATAGAGCACTCAAAACTGCATATGAATCCATGCGGGTCTCCAAAGTATCGGATGATGATAACCTACTACCCATCTCAGAATATAGTGTCCATTGCTATTGGTTCTCGTCACATTCATCAACATTAAAAAATTCACATACTTTAGACACCGCAGTGTCTCTGTAAACGCTGCTACATGAATGTTCTTCACAGTATTGGCTGCTTAATACCCCACCGTTATCATGTTAGATTTTGGAGGTTAACTAGCATCTCTCTCTCTGACTCCCGTTCAATTTAAGTAAAGTTTCCTTGGCTTTTCTAGGACTTTACGTGACTTCGGATGAATTTGGGTGAATTTGAGTGAATTCAGGTTGGTTTTGGGAAATGTCGAGGTGAGTTTTAAACGCTAGAGATTCGTCTAAACTAATTGCGTCTTTATTTGAAGAAATATCGCTATTTTTATAGAGCTCTGTGCCAAGCGATGCGAGTCTTTTGTTAGAAAGTGAAAGTTTCTTTGGTGTAGTAAAAACCTTAAAACTTGGTTAACGCATATTAAAGTGGAGTCGATGTTATCTTCATCCACATACTCCATGAATTCAAATTCGCAATTAACTGCCATTTTGTGCTCAAAGAAAATATCTGGAAGGAAAACAACTGACAATTTAACGTAAAAAGTGACAATATGCCCTGCAAACGCAATTGTAAATGTGAAAATGTCGTAGTATACTGTAAGAAAATGTGAACTCAAAAATAAGAACTATTAGGAACCTAAGCAATCAAGAAATTGTGAATTATTCAGTTTTATAGAATATTTTGTTTTATTAGTAATTCTATTTCAGTTCAGAAAAAATTGTGACTATTTACACGCAGCGCGATTAAGAACAAATATCGATCTCTTGCGTTACAGTAGTTTCTAGCCTAGCATAGTAATTTTAAAAATCTCTTTCCTCTCGTTGATGTGTTTCTTTTCTGGCAGTCAAACAAACTTATCTCACCTCCCCGTTATCTAAATAGCCACATCCACATTACTTTTCACTCTCAAATGAAATTCATTTGAAATTACACGCTAGTGTGAATATAAAGTATGCTTAACATGTATATCTGTTTTGATCATGAAGAGAAAAACTGTTTTGCTTTCGACCCACCACTGCAGCTTCACTCTTCATACGGCTACTATTAACAATCACCGCATTATCGATAGAGTAAAGAGACCGCTTAACCGCGCTGCAGCTCTTATGCGCCACCCACGCGCACAGATGCAAAGTAGTCCGTCAAACATCCTACTTACTAGACCAGAGGGGAACCGACGCGCGGTCCAAGTCTGGCTGCATCCACTAAATAGTACGTCCTAGCAACTAGACTCTTATCCCGTCATCCATGAGACCACTCTAACGTGGACGTCGAGCCGTCCTTACTGTCCTGCGCTTCTCAGCAAGCCACCTCGCGCGGGATGGGAGTCCATGTACAATCAGCAAACCATAGCAAATTTATGTGTGATGTTTCAGTGATATTCGGACTGAAACTCCAGCCCGCCCTACGACACACAAAAACTCGCTATGCTGAACCGGGTAGGGGATTCTCCGAAGGCCAGAATCTTTTTGTAGTGATAACTATGTAAACTAGACGATATCGACGGGACGAATGTTCCAGTGACCTTTGGCTATTGACGAGACGAATACTTCCAGCCATCTTTGGCTACGTAGTTTAACGTCATTGCGGACGAAAAAAGTCAAAAAACTAGTTTTTTTACAGAGATCAGAATTTTAAAAAAAAGTTGGTCGCTCCGGAAGATGCTGAGAACACGTCATTCGATGCGATTTTCCATACTGAGGCCGAATATGTATAAATATCGCAGAACAGAGTGGTTTTCCGAGGTGTAACTTGTGAAAAACAGCGAAAAACCAAGAGTTTTAGGAAAACCATATCTTTGGCCTGGTGAGTTTGCGCTAACTATATATGTGCCTTATATGGATGAACATTCGGTAAAAAATTTATCAGGATTCGACTTAAGGAAAATTTTTTCACTAGAGAGAAACATATCAAGAAAAAAATTCTTTTACAGATCTCTATAGCTGGAGATGCCCTCTTTCAGAATATGTATGATTTATACATATAGATTTCTTACTTTCGATGCCACAGGCTCTGTTCCCCACATGTCGCTGAAGCTAAGCGAAATTTTGGAAACCGATTACTCAGCGAGGAAAGGAGCTAGAAGAACACCGTCAGTGACAAAAAATCGGCCTTTATCCAAAGTACATGAAACGCTAATCAGATATTGAAAAAACTCACTTTCGTTTTTTCACCTAATGTCCACATTGTTGCCCACTGTGCGGGTATGTCAAAGGAGAATTTCGTGGCAGTGTGTGATATTCAAATTTTTTCCTGGCTGTAAACTTTCGTTGATTATACATTAGACGTGGCTCTGAGAACATTTGGCTACCATATTTGTACGTAGGTGTCAAAACAATAACTGTTCGTTTTCTTCCAGTGAAACGTCCACGCAAAACTTTTTCTCGGTAGATAGGACAGATTACTGAAATGCCATTTCGTTTCGCTCGTGGCGAGTTAGACGAGAACAGGAAAATGTTTCTGGACAACAACCCCTAGATGCATACCGTCCTGAGTTGTAACGTTGGGTCCTAATAGCTCACCAACCTCGATACTATACAAGCCTTTCATGAATTTTCCCATGCTGATAGTTGCGGCTAATGCACGGGCATTGGCACTAGCTAATCGTTAGCTAGTGCCAATGCTCGTGTATTAGCGCAACAGTTTGGGTTCACAAACCCCAAACCCCAGATCTTCACCAAATCAAAACCGACCAAACACAATCCCTAAGGTGCACAATCTAAAGGTGCATCCCTAAATATAATGTAAAAATAGAGTGCACCTAACTAAAAAAATACAAAAGAAATGCGATTGAGCTCAAATTTGTAGCAGAGATAGAGCATCCACAAAGAAAATCGATCCATTTTTGCCCAGAATTTTCTGAGATGTTCTTCTACGGGTATATATCTCTAATAACTTTTGTCATTTCGAAAGGCATATATAAATGAAAGTACTGTGCTTGGATAGGATATAAAAATCTGTATTCAAAATCAAAATAGCGAAGTGATCATTTGCAAAACCCACGGACTCGCAAATTACTTATCTTGACGTGCACAGTTGCTAAATATAATAAATTCTACTAACTTTAAAAATTATTGCATAAGAGAGTTCAACTAAGTTTTTACATGTAAGGTGCAGGCAATTCAAACTTCGAGTAAAAGTTTTCTTTTGGCTTTTTCTTACATCATTTGATAGAACGTGAGCTGCCGATCACGAAAATCTACTTTTTAGCCTTAACAAACGCTTCCTTCCGGTCGAAAAATACGAAATACTCGTAAGGTGTCGTTTTTTGAGGTCTTTGGTGCAATCAAAAGGCATATGTACGTACAGATCAAAGTTTTGAAAAAATGATAAAATTAATATCGGATTCTCGCATACATTTTGTCGAACGAGAAATTGCATTAAAATTATTCCGACGTTTTTGGCGTTCAATCAAAACATATTCTCCAGGTCAAACATATGCTGATGTTTTAAAACTGTTTTTCAGTCAACTCTGCAAAACAACAGTTCAATCGCATCGTAGATTATCAAATAAAAAATAAACGAACCTTAACGAGTATATTTTTTCTATTTCGATACTTTTATTTTGCATGTCCGCGTTCATATTATATAACGAGCATGAAAGTGATTAATCTGTACATTACAGGTCATAAAGTATCGATTAATATTGTTTTTTTATTGATTTATTGTTTGAGGATCATTTCGCGATGAACAAATGTAGTGATCAAAACAATTGATACTCGAAAAGAATGAAGAACAGATTTGTGTATTGACACCGTTTGCTATGGACAAATTGTTTCGTACTCAACTTTTAGTATTAAACCAAATATATTTCGCAGCGAAGTGAGAAAGCGTTTCAAAATAGAGTTCGATCACTCTATCGTTACTCCACCATTACTCAATTCCGATATTCTTCTACTCCATTCGTTGGACCGATGCAGCTATTCTGCAACATAATTTAGAACCGTTGTAGCTTGAACTAAAGCCTCCCCATAATAGAACTATCCTCTATTAGAAGACCACTGCCGATTATATGAATGTACTTCTGATAGGGGATGGACTTCAAGTACGGTGGGGGGGATACCGTAGGACTACTAGCACGCGAGAAAATTTGATCGCAATACACCACTCTTTAGAACTCGACTTGCGGGACAAAATAGAAGATCAGGTGGTCTTCTATTATGGGAGGGGTTTAGTAGTTGCTCTTGCACAAACAGAAAACATGTAAAGTGGGTTTTTTCTTTACGGTAAAGTAAAGCGATAAAAAGATTCTTTTGCAAAGAAAAAACGACTAGCAGATGAATATTTGTACAATTGCTATAGTAGGAATTTCACCCATAACTGAGCTGGAAAACGGAGCATAGGAATCTATCTTCTTAGCATGGAGTTCGTGCTTGTAAAGAACCTTCGGTCTGCAAGGCTACGCAGTTTTACATTTTCATAATTACATGTTATTGACCTGGAAACCGAGGATAGGATGCCTATGAATGGTTGAAGCGATTCACTGTACCGGAACATGTCTTTTCTATCTCTATCTGTGTTTGTTACATGCTGGTTTGTTATTTTTCTTCGCCGTGTGCTATTACCTACTGATAAAAGGTGAAATATAAACATCAGATACTGTATGAAATAGTATATAGTTGTGGTTTTTTTGCATTGAAAAATATTCGTAAATGAATTCTTTCGGAGCTGGAGCAGTTATCGTACTTGCTGTTGCAATAGGAATTTATTACCAACAGTACTTCGGGGATGAAACTCCAACGGCCCGCCGTGCTTGGTTAACATTGCTGAATAATGACGAGTATGTGCCAGGTGTATTAGCTTTAGCTCGTTCATTAAAACGGGTAAAGAGCGCATATCCGTTAGTAGTAATGATCACTCTAGATACCGTATCACAAGAAGGACAACAATTAGTTTTGGATGAAGGATGCCAATTACGTCCAATAGAAACTTTGCTCCCTAAGCAAGACAAAAAAAATTTAGCATTCGAACGTTTCATTCATGGATGGACAAAACTACGAGCTTTCCAAATGATCGATGTTTGTGATAAATGTGTCATGATGGATGCTGACATAATTGTCTTGCAAAATATGGATGAATTATTCGAACTTGAAGACAATCCGAACTTTGCAGCTGTCCAGACATGTATCTGCAATCCAGCTAAAAATCCACTGTATCCCGATTACTGGAAGCCTCAAAATTGCCCATATACTCACGAGCAGCATTCTCATTCATCAGCTGAAGTTGATAGCCGAGGCCGCATGTTTAACGGTGGCCTCTTTTTGTTGCATCCAAACCAAACTGTTTTTGAAGAAATGCTCGTTGCTCTAAATACATGGGATTTGTCGTTATTCAAATTTAGTGACCAAGACTTTTTGAACAAATTTTATCACACTACCTGGAGACGTTTGCCCTATGTGTACAATACGCTGAAAACATTTTCAAAAACTCATCCATATTTATGGAATGAGACAAAGATTAAAGCGATTCACTATATTCTTGCAAAGCCTTGGGATAAATTAGATCCGGATAATGCTGCCTATGAAGAAATCAATAGATTGTGGCAGGAAGCATATGACTGGAGGGAGCAAACAACAGCTCAAAGCCCCACCAATATATAACCTAGAATTCAAATAGTTGCTGAGTTAGTTTTGTTACGGTACCTCTGCGGATTCTACTTTATGGACTATCTTTATTCAATTTGCACTACCTCGGAGACACTCACTTTTACACTCCCTTAACATTTGATCCCTTGTTGCAGCACTAATATAATGGATTACTCAGTAATGCTATCTCTGACGCCCTCAGTCCCAATCTCAAATTCCTTGTCAAGTTATTCCTTATTCAAGTTATTTGTATTCAATCTAATTATCAAGTGCGTATACGTATGAGTATAGTCGAGCATTTTCTTTTATATATGTTATGTATGTTACTGTACTATTCCTTTTTCAGTGTTATATTAGCCGCCACCTTTTCTGTCTTCGTAATGAGTTTAGTTATTGTTCTGGGCTGCTTATCTTGATAAATAAAAAAGAAGTAACATCTCATTTTAAAAGAGCTAGACTATTGTACTATCAAATATATTCATTTTCAATAACATAAAGATAAGGAACAATTCTAGTCCGAGTCGCCGTCACAAATGGAGGTCCTACCCAGATGATTATATCGATAATCTCTTGTCGATATTTTCGTCATTGAACACATCGAAATAAAATCTTTTCTTCATATATCATTTATTATTTTTATTATCATTGATATAACATATCATCAATTCATTTCAACAAAACATGAAAAAACTTAAATATAAATATATATTATAACACAATAATAAACTGATAAAACAAAAATTATAATTAAAAAAAAAATTATTAAATTCAGAATTGGAATTATTATTTATTTAAGACAACATCAATAGCGGACAAGGAAGTATAAAAATAAAAATAAAACAGATTCAAATAATCATTTTAATTATTTATTTACATATTGATTAGTATTAATTATTAATAAAACAAAACAAAAAACTAACAAAATATCGGAATAACAGCATAAAACAAAAATAATAATAAAATAGACGAAGACGACTGTCTGATTATTTCACCGGCAACGTTGTATCATGAGCCAAATCAAGTCACAACTAAAATAGCAAAAAAATATATTTAAATCGAAGTAACAAAAACTAAAATTAAGTTGTCTATTTGTCCTTATTGGTGTAAAAGACTAGCTTTTATAATGACAGACACACGTTCGCCCACTCCGCATACATTAGTATCGGAGCCACTCGTTACCGAAGCACCAATTTCTGGCGCTTCACCTTCTATCTGCTCGGAATCGTCGCACGTTCGTCATTCACCTCAAGATCCATTACAAATTATTCTCCAACGAATGGCAGAACAAACGCAAGTGATGAATGAAAAATTCGAGCAAATATTAAAACTGCAACAAGATCAAGCAGGAAGGATGGACGAACAATCGTTAAGACAGGAAGAAATAATTCGGACGATAAAAGAAATAGAAGGGAAAATAACTCCACCACAGTCTGCTGCAAATTCACGACCCCATTCTCGTGGTACATTTACCAATGAGGAAATAATGGAGGATCGACGAGATTCATCACCAAGTCAACAAAATTTACAGCAATTCTATCGAACATCTCAAGATCAGTCGCCAAATCATTCCGCCCGTCATTACAAAGAATCGCCAGACTATATCCCCTGCAACAAAGTGCAACGTTACCCTCTTCACGAACCGTCGTCAAAGAATGATGCGTTTCGACAAAGTTCACCTACATATTCGCACTATTCCGTCGATTCGAGACCACCAAATCAAAGAATAATCGATATGTACGAACAAGAATTTCAACGTATGCAACAACTAGTCGTGAAACAATCTAGGACTATCGAAGAGCTATCGCAATCGGCATTCACCCTTTCGCTATTACCACATAATTCGTTAACACCGTTAGTTACTCCCCAACAAAGCACAATGACAGGAAATGGTTCAGGTGCTTCAACAGTATCAGTTCCCGTATATCATAGTCCTCCAACCAGCGAATCGACGGGAACGTTTCATCCTATAGTCAGAGCTTCAGTAGCTAATCCACTCGTACCGCCAGTTCATGTGACACCAACACCAAAAATAACGACGTTTCCATTCATGATGTCACTTAATAACAATCTTCTAACCTTTCGAGGAAAAGCCGAAGATATGTCATCAAAGTTCATTACGGATTTCGAACTTCGAGCATCTGGTTTAGTAGGAGATGACGATGAAGCGTTATTACGTGCTGTCCGTCAATTGCTAGCAGATTCCGCACTCACGTGGTTTGGATAAATGCAAAAATCGTATAAGAAAGTTACAATCTGGCACGAATTCGTTAAGTCATTTATGTCACGATTTTGTTCAGCAGAGAGCGTGCAACCACTAGAAGCCAGATTAAGCAACCTATGGCAGGAAGATAGTGAGTCAACATCAGACTATTTTGAACGATTAAAAGCCTTAATGACGGAAATCGATCCAAAACATTCACAAGGCTAGCTCAAAAGGAAGTTCTACCAACGGCTTCGTTCCGATATTCGACCTCGTCTATTAATTGGACTTACAGCGTCCCTCGACGATCTCGTCAAAAGAGCCGCCAAAGTGGAAGCTTGCCTTGTTCAAGAAAAGTCTGATGAAGCTCGTCGAGCGATTCAAAAGTAGAAACAAGCAAAAGAAAAAGACGAAAAAAAGAGCAAGACAACAATCGTATCGAATATCAGTCAAAATCCAAAATCTTTTAGTGACACAACATCTAAGACTTCGGCGTACCAACAACAATTTCATAATGACCACAATAAAAATATTAATAACTAAAATAACAACAATAATAATACATTTATACCGTCGACACCTAACTATCCTCAAAACAAACCTACGGGTCGGTGGAATCAACATCAATCAAAACAGCAAAATCCATCAAATAACAACACTTGTGTCTGAGTGAATTTTTAAATGTTAGATTATTGTTAAGTGAGTAAGTAGTCTTACAAATTTTGGAGTACAGGAGCGTTTCTTCTGCAGAAAACTGGGATAGTTGGTGGTGCCATCCCACTTTTTTGGAGAAGAAACGCTCCTGTACTCCAAAATTTGTAAGACTACTTACTCACTTAACAATAAACTAACATTTAAAAATTCACTCAGACAAAAAGACATACATTAAGGACGTCTGGAGAAGATTCATCTTTTTTTGACTACCTACTTCATTTCTATCACATTCTCCACATCTCTTCTTTACAGTATTCATACAACTATTATGGTGATGTATATAAAAATGTTTTTCAGAATTTAAGACCCGATTTTTGTATTGTTAATAGTACAAATTTAGTGCGTAAATCATTAGACAGTAGTCTTGATGTTGCATACTTACGAACAAACATTCTATCAATATTAGAATCGAAACAAATTGAAAAATAATGATATTGGGCAATTATTACATTATTTACGAATCGTTCTGGATTGTTCGCCCAAACGAAAATATATGATTGGTGCTATTACTGATTTCACTGGAGTTAGATTTGTAAAAGTCGTACGCATTAACGATAATGAATATCAATAAGAAATGACTCCACAAAATGTTTTGGAAGACGACTATTTGATATTTTGATAAAATATTTCAGAAGAGCGACGAAGGCGGGCATCATTCTCACTTCCCGCGATGAATATTTACTTACACTTTGACAACAGCTAGACAAAAATACATTTATTCTTGACTGAAAGTCTAGGATCATATGAAATAAATACTGACGTTGGCGTCCGCGTAGTAGAAAAATGCAACAAATGCTGGTGTTCTTTCGTTACTTGAAGGTTGCGACACCTGTCCTCAGGACCTCATCGGATGAGGTGCTGTGAATATATTACTCGTTTCAGTCGACGGTCATAAAGTTGATTTTTGTGCAATTGAGATAACTTCGACAGACGTCTAGTAATATATACGATCTCTTTCATCCTACTCCTCGACATTTTAAGAACAATGGTAGCTAGAGGCTCTCAGCTTTTTCGAGGATAGTATTTTTAGAGATTCAAGAAATGAAAACTTCCTTCACTTGAATGATGTTTGAAGCATCGAACATGAAAATGATTCTCATACAAAGGTATCCTCGTATACATTTATAGGTGCAAGCTCTATATTGACTAGCACCGACAGCACCAAAGTGGAGAATCTAAAACAAAGTTAGCGCCACCCTCACCGATAACCCTCAGAAATAAGCAGAATAAAAAAACATATTCAAACTGAATTACTATAGAATACTCAATAATATTCAAACTGAATCATACCTGAAATATTTTGGGCGAAGGCCAACCGAAGGGAGGCCTAAGCTATGCAACGACCGTCCCTCCAAACAGAGTTCTTTCAGTCAATGGTTTAGTGAATCGAAGATGAACGTTACTTGTGATTATGTATTACTATTCAAACATTTGCCCCATGCATTAGAAAAATAAAAAAAAAAAATAATAATAAAAGCCTAAAGTACAATATTTTGAATTAGCCCTTCAGAAAATCTCATAACCTGCTAAAGGAAAGACCATTACTCCTGTCTTTCGATTATGTAACCTTCCCGAATGGAGATACGATGAAAACTCGAACTTTTACTATTCTAGATGTCGAATTGATTTTCATGTTTTTTCTTTCTGTTAAGCTTTACTCATTCTACCGGGCGATAAAGACTGTGTTAAAATACAGTTTAATGGAGAGCGACATCTATAGATTTCACTTCATGAGCATCACTCAAGCCCGTGAAAGTTAGACTTATCTATAAACTACTTATCTAATATAACTTCCTGACTGTTTTGTAGATGAAATGACTGAAAAATTAACAATCGAAGAAAAACACGCTTGAGAACAAAACATTCAAGTTAATAACGAGGGAAAAGTAAGGAAAGAACACAATGAACAAGATCAACAAGAAATAGAGGAAGTTGTTGAGTGTCTTTCCCAATCGAATAAAAATTATCTAGTGTCTAAACCAAAATTTAAGTCGAATGATGCACCTTTTGATCCTATTCAACCACTTTTGTTTTCAATGTGAGAAAAATGGTTTGATGATTCCTCTAACAAGTACAACTGCGCTTGCAATAGCTTTACTCGGAATAAGGGATCGATCTGTTACAAATCTGAAACAGGAACACAACAATTTACGACGAGAAGAAAAGATGTAGAAAAGGGCTGATATGGAACTGGAGAAATCTTCTGCAAAAGTGTTGGTAACTCGATCTCGATCTGACACAACAGTCAATTCTTCAGATCATCCAAAGAGAAGATTTTCGGCTACGGAGTTGGCTGTGTCCAATCCAGATATTCCCTCGTCAATTCCTCGGTGAGTAAAAATTATACCCCGTAATACCACTTATTATCTCTTCTATTCTCTACGGAAAGGCAGAGAAACGTTAGCAGAAAATTGCAAACATTCTCGCGAGCCTTCGCGCCGGGTACCTCGATTTTCCAGTTCAATCCGAAACAGCTCTATGGCGATATATGAAGGGTCTGGGTTTTTCATACAAGCAAACGAGCAAAGTCTCAGTTCCACTCGACGCAGAATCCTTCGTGGCTCAGAAGGCGGCTTATTTTCGTCGTCTCGACGAACTACGACAAGAGAAAGTCATCGTGTATTATCACGATGAAACATGGTGCAATGTGGGCCAGGAGAAACGTTCGGTTTGGCTTGATGAGAAGGGAGAAGGGCGAATTCGAAGCAGGATGGGAAAGGAAAGCGAGTAGCCGTTTCAGCCATGATCAATGAAGAAGGTTTTCATAAAGAAACGGTGGAGATATTCCAATCTGATGTGAACCACTCAATGGTGAAACTTGTGGGATTGCATTTTCATTTTTAAGATTACTGGATTTTTTATACATTCTCTAAAATTCGGTTCATTTCGTGGAATGGAGTTTGTCCGCTGCTGCTCATCTTCGAGTCAAACGTGGTTCCACTGTGAGAATCCCCATCATCATCGATAATGCAACCTGGCACAATGAGTTGATAGATGGGTCAAACCCTCCGAAACGATCTTGGCCAAAGAAACCGTTCCACCAATAGCTTGACGATCATGACATTTCCAATGATATCAGATTCACGAATGCCAAGCTTCGAGAACTCGCATTTGCACATCTTCCACCCAAGCGGTACAAGACAAATGAAGCTGCAAAAGAGTTCAGTGTCGAAATTGATCGTCTACCGATTAATCATTGTATACTCAATCCAATAGAACTGGTCTGGGCTCAGTTGAAAGCCTCGAGCAAACCACACTGCCTTTCGTCTCTCGGATGTCACCTCGTTGTCGCAACAGTATATTGCTGCTCTTGACGATTGTTCGGCGTTCATTGAACGTGCTCGTAAACCTAAAATGACTTTTCGAGCGGCTGATAACTTTTTGGAAGAAGAAGTCGAACCACATTTGAATGATGAGGAGCAAAATCACGACTATGACGGTGAGATGCTCAGCGAAGATGATTTAGATGCAACTAGTGAGAAATCGCCTTGCTGTAAATGAGGAGAAACCGTAGTTACTGTTTTGCACCGTAAAGCTCAAGTTGTACAAAACTGAGGCTGGTAGATAAAATTGAGGAAATTCAATTTGCCACATTTCATCATCTTACAGACTCAATTTTGGGAAACATCTCCGTCAGAGTGAAAAACAGGGAAAATCTCTTCTTTCAGGCTAATTTTCAACTTTTCACCACCAACAAAGTGCTTCTCCAACTTGAGTTTGAAACAGGAAGTGTACGACTGTAAAAACAACGTATTTCCTGTTTACTCTCATGTACAGTCCGGTTTTATTCCGTCAACTTTCACAGTGCTGCTCGACTGCAGTTTGTGTGTTTTAATCCGGTTTTTGTACAAGCATTGAAACGAGAAAGTAGAAAAACGCCTTGCTTTCCGTTTGTTTTCTCAACACACTGAAACCATAAGATGAGAGAACGCTTTCCTACGTGTTTCAAGGGAAAACGAAAAGAGACGCCAAATCTCATTTTCTAGTTTCGGCACGTTTAAAACAAAACCTTTTGGAACGCGAAATTAAACATGGTGTTTCGTCGCATTCGTAAAAAACCCGAGGAAGACTGAGTTCTTTTAAAAATGCGTTGAAATCCATAGGCCTCATTAGATAAACCACATGTGATTTCAGAGATGAACGCGCTGCCTTTCAAGGTAAGCTGTTTATTCACGATGCTCAAGCATGCTTTAAAAGAAAAGAATTCATTATAATTACTCAGTGACACCAGTTTCTACCACATACCTGTAAGAGAAGATTGAAATTTTCATGATATTAACACATGCAAATATCATGAGGATATATTTTCTTTACCCATTCCGAACGAAGGTCATAGAATTTACTATGTCCAATTTTATATTCGGAAAAATCATTTTTAAATTTTCCCAAAGTTTCCGATATTGACATCTGAAGAATTTTTAATGCAACGAATTTTTGTTGACGTGAATAACATCCTTTTTATTTGGTGACTGCCTGGAAATATTATCGTCGAGATAAAATTCTATTACTGTATCAATGACAGTTTGCTGCAATGGCTCATTTCCTCGATAACGATCAGGCATTGCCAAAATGCCCCTAGTGGCGTATAATTTTGTCTGGACCTTTAAGTTGAGATAATGTAAAAAACCACCAGTTTGACAAAGGGAAGAATTAGGAGTGTAAGAAACATGTGCGTAGTAGGTAGGTCAAAATGACAAAAAAAGTCAAATTTCGAGTACAAAAGAGACTTGAGTATTATCCTGTCAAAAAATGTGATGACAACAGCGCCATTCAAAATTTAACCGACAGATCTGGACTGCTCTAGTAAAAGTACTTAGTTTTAACATTTGTACTGTTAATTCATTATTGTTTTCGCTTATTTTTTAATATAGTATAAAGAAGTAACAGTAAGTAGTAGTTCTTCCATCATCCTCACCTCCAACACTGTTAAAAATACTTCTAAGTATTTCTCACTCTCACGCTGTTACCCTACACCGTTAAGAAGTTGAAACTAAATAAAACTCTCGCGCACTTTTTTTTCCACCGAATGAGATTTGTTGTATGTTTTTTTTATTTAACTATGCTTAGCGCAACTAAAAAGGCTTGATGAGAAACTAACTGAGACATAAAATAATATAATTATTTGTTAAAATGTTTTAAAAAGATGAAAAGCCAAGTCTGATGTTTAGTTGAACTAACATTCCGTTATGCACGATGTCCATTACATTTATATATTTTAATAACACCATCTTTTACTAACTGATAATTATTACATAAATCATTAATGTCATATGTTTCCCAATTATTTTCCAAATGTTTTTTCGTTTCGTGTTCCATAGGATAAACGTAGATAAAATAATTTTGTTTTAGTGTATCACCATGAAATAATCTGTAATAGAAGAAAAAGAGAAAAATGCATTTTAAAATACAACGCGTAACTCTACTACCGGAATCTCTGTGCGTTATCATTTTATCTCTTTTCGTCTATCCTATAATATTCGGAAAGAATATCGTAGAATCCTGGAAAGCGTCTTGTTTCTTAGAATGAAGTGCGTTCTTCAAAATCCACCACTATCTCAATTCGAAATAATTGACGACTTTTCGGTTACAATCGAAATACTAAAAGCCCTAAAAACAAACGACAATGTTTTTGGAGCTCTTCGTATTTTAAGTATAGCATAAATAGTATCCATTATTTCGAATTGAGATAGTGGTGGATTTTGAAGAACGCACTTCATTCTACAATACAAGACAGTTTCTAGGATTCTACAATATTCTTTCCGAATATTATAGGATAGACGAAAAAAGAAAAAATGATAACGCACAGAAATTTCGGTAGCAGAGTTACGCGTTTTGCATGGTAGAAATCAGTGTGTGGGAAGCAAATGTGTTCATTCATAATGGGACTTGTCTCTCTTTAGGTGGGTAGAGATAGTATAAAATTGCTGATTTCTTTCTTTTTCAAATAAAAAGCTTATATCAAATGTGTTCATTCAATTCTACACACAAAACTGGCATTATAATAGAAGTTTTTTTGGCTGTAGACTCCATACTCACTGGATTTCTCTCAGGAAACCGCGTCATCTGCAATATTTTCAGTTTTTTGAATTTAGATCAAATCTGTTGATTTTTAGTCTTATCTCATTCGAAAGAGGAATGACAACTGAAATTTAGCTTATCTTTCAAATTGAATTTTCCGGCCGAGAAAACTGTATTCTAAAACTGTTTGTTTTTTCGTGATAGAATTTTTCTTCTTTAAATTGAAAAGTTTGAAGTACGATTGAATTGGAGCGAATCCATCTGCTTTTATTTAGTAGAACACACAATTCGCGACAAGATCTACGTAAAAATTTAAAAAGAAGTTTCAAATCATGACGATAACTGAGAGACAAGAGGGTTTTAGGCCATGGTTGGTCATAGCAGGAATTTTTTGACGATAAACGAACTTTTCAGAAACTTCAAAAGACACATCGCTGGATGAAGTTTCATGTACTATTCACGAAAATGACCGAACGCATCTTGTGTTGAGAAGGTGAATCTTAGCTCGGAAAATCAAGTTTTTGTATAGACTTTTAAGAAATTTTTGCCCACGTTAACGCTGCTCCATGTTTTCTGTTGACTGTTATGACCTGAAACCTTTTTACTTCTTCTGTTTATGTTCGATTCTCCCTGGCACACGCTCTTTTTTAAATTTTCTTCTCCTGATAACCACGATGTGCATACTTACGTATTATGTCCTTGACATTGATATTCAGCGATTCCTTGTTGACCATCAATAGATTGAATAAATTTATGATTATAACAAAATTGTTCTGCATTATGTGTATCCCAACGTGGATTTTGTAATGGTTGATTCCGTAAATATACCCAAAAATGATTATCACGTGATGGATCACCATGATATTGTAATGACATCTTCGCTATTAATACTACTAACTTAGTGCGTTGAAATAATAGAAGGAAAGAAAACGACGACTGTAGTTGACAACCACTAGAAAGAATACTATCTCTCTTTTTCTATACAAAGAACATGATAGAACGAATGTTGATAACTATCATAATATACACATTACTATACTAGTGGCAAAAGTATAAATAATTTTGATAACGGAAAAGGATATAATCATAGGATATACGTCAAGTACATTTACTGTTGTACAACTTTGCATCATATAATTATAAGTATCGCGATAGTAAATAATCACCGTACGTCGTTTCCTTTCCTAGGAGCTAATCATAAACTCGTTAAGCCATTATTCATCGAACTGTTCGAGCGCAATGAACCGATGGTGTTCCAATCATCGAGTTGGTTTGCGGACGGACCCAACTCTTATGTAAACATCGTGCTTTATTGTACATATCCCCCTGAAAAAAATAGTTGAAGTCGATTTTTACAATATATCATCACTATAAAAATACATTTTTAAAAACTAATTATATATTCTGAAAGCGCTCATAGTTCTCTGTCACCCTGTATATTTATGCTTTGTCTTGCATTTACTTGATGAAAAATAATTTGAGTACAGCGAGGATACCTCAAGGGGCAAATCACGGGATCCTGAAATCCTGAAATTCTATGGAATCCGGCGGAATCTGGTGGACTCCGATAGAATTCGGGATTCTACACTTCTCCCGAAACAGAACAAAAGTGTTCTATATTTTGGGAAATTTTTGCCAAAAACAGAGCACAGTGTTCTGTTCTGGGGGTTAGTTCCAGAGAATCTAAGGGAATCTTATGGATTCCAAGAGAATCCTAGGGAATCCTTGGAATCCTCTAGAATCATAGGGAATCCAGGAGAATTCAGGATTCTAGGATTCCGTGCTTTCCTCCTTGGGATACCCCCAATTGACAAGTACCAAAAAGCTGCTACTTTTTTAGTTTTCTCGCACAAAGGGAGGGGAGCAATAGAAAGGAACTTGAGTGTTGTTTTTAAGGTGGATTGAAAAATGTATAGGGTAAGCATATTAACACGTTAAAACCAGGCCAAATGTTTCATAGTCGGTGGTTCAAACACATTCAGAAAGTTACTTGATTCGTCTTCATTAAACAAACGAGATCTTTGCGCCAGCGTTAAATTAATTTCTTTTTTACTACTAATGTCACGGTATCAAAATTAGTATACAGCAATTTAGGGTGACTGGGTAATTAGCTATAGTTTTAAGCAAATTATAAGAATCTGCATAACGGCTAAATTTGATGAGAAGGCTGCTCTATACAACCTCCGGGAGTTTCTTTTTAAGTTTGATCAAGAGTGAAGAATTTGTAGAAAATCATAATTTTCAATAAGTTTTACGCGTATCAATCTATATACGATTTAATGTCCTCGTTAAAGAAAATTTGTATGTGAAAGATGATGCCTTTATCCAGTTTTAATTTGACCATTGACAGTTGGTCCATTATTACCGAAACTTACCACTAATTTTTTAACACATGCTGTTTCTTTGTCTGTTTATAACCCATATGCGTTGATATCACTGGAGTGACAAAGAAAAAAATCATTCAAAAATGAGCGAAGAGCCTTCAGTAAACTGAGCAATCTAAAGACTGAAGCTAAAACTGAAGAACGTCGAGCTTTCGGAAAAAGTAATTAGAGTAATGTTAGAACAAGCTTTTGAGTTCTGTGCGACTAGCTTCTTTCTCAGAAGTCTTCTCCAATACCGTACTAAACCCAAAATTTTTGTGACGTTCGACAGCGACTTGTTTTTGTAAAAGATGCTGCAAAAACTCATCAACAGCCCGAATGAAATACAAAATCGTACAAAATCATCCTTAGTTCATACTAAACTAATCAAAAATGCAAGAAATCTTATGAAATGGTCAATAGAAGTTTCAACCATAGCCAATCAAATTTGTTTCCGCTGTGTATCGTTCGCAACACTTTTCATCAAGATTATGCCTGGCTAACATACCGTCTAGTCTGCCCTTTCAAATTTACAAAGGAAAGGGTGTTGGGTCTTACATTCTATTTCCGAGACGCATTTTCCTTCGATTTCTAAAAAGAAATTTGATAAATTAATTACACAGTAGTATTTATATTATCCCAGGATTGCCATACAGACACTTGCACAATCAACACATTTTGTACAATCAATGATAATGTTGTTCTATTGATATTTGAGTGTGCATACTTCATATTCTTTACGTTATTTTTATATGTTTGTATTTTGTTATTTCAGATAGCTGTTTTTTCTTTTTTTTGTTTGTTTCTACAAACGATTTTATCAAATATTCTGTGTAGAATTAAAATATCTGTTATTGCTACTTAAATCATCAATAAATACCATTGGTGACACGATGTAAGCGTGAACTTGGCATGCGAAGACAAATAATAAGAGACTGTCTAACTGGAGCTGCTTGCCACCGAGCCCTTTATTACACGATACACTTTTTGGTCAAGCGTAGAAATATTAATTGTGCTTCAGGAAGAATTTCGTGAAGAGAATGATAGATAGATTGCTATAATGGTTGCCGTATGGTGTTTCTACAATAACCACTTGCTTGTTTTCATACACTAAGAACGAAGACATTCTCAATTCAAATTACGACTGTGGTCATTTCTAACAAATACTCAATGAATTATAGGGCAGAATACTGAATTATGTTCACAACTGAAGACACAACTGAAGACATATGTGGCTTTTGAGATGACTCTTTGTGAAGAAGATATTTACTTTATCACTAGCTATTATAAACATACCCTAATGAATGTGCTTGGGTAAGTAATATTCAAAGTATCTCGAACTTTTTGCAAATGGATTAAACACGTATTAAATCTAAAAATGCTTGACAAGTGCTTAACCAAGTACTTCAGAAAATTTGCAAGTAGCTTAGTACTTGATCATTCACGAGAGTATGTATATGAACATTTTGAGTTTAGCTTGTGATTTAGAAAACAAAATCTTGAATGACTTGGATGAGAAATATTTTCATATTTGTCGGCTCATTTTCCTAAAGTATAATAAATTATACGATGTAGATCATCTTAGGAATACATTAGCATTAATCAATTCGAATAATAACTCGATTCCATTTCTTCATACAGAAAATGTTGACGATTTATTACAAGATTATTGTACAAATCATACAAATATTTTAAACAAACACAAATGAAATGTGCATATAGAATGAAGTTAAATTCCTTTCATTTTCACTTTTTTTCGTGTTTTCTTCTCTGTTAATAGGCACTTGTCCTTCGGGAAATATGATTAATGGCACTGATCTAACTGTTTCATTTAGATCAGGTTTAACTGCTACAATTCAGCCAAGGCAGTAAGACCAAATACAGTTTTTTTAACAGTTTCTGGTCCATCACCAATGACACTGTCTTCTGCTGTTAAACTTGTTTTATACTTACCAAGATTTTATCAGAACGAAGTTCCGTTATGTGTGCTCCTGTTCAGCTAAAGTCGTATTCATATATGTGTCCTATTTGTCAACAATTGATTATAACACCATTATTATTTAAGCATGTAACAGTGTTCTGTTGTAACGGATGGATGAAAAATGCAACTATCTATTACTATCGTTGTGGAAACAGAAAATCATCTTGTTACTATATTTGCAGCATTCCTTTATTTATCCCACATATTATAAAACAACATCAGTTCGCATAATCAGCAGATCTTCATTAAACCATAATGATTCTTTTTATTTTAGTCGGAAATATGTGTTTGAAAAATAATTACTGATTAATTATAAATGTGACATTATTTCTACAAATGGATCATTTGAGAAAGTTGCTGATAGTTACAACCTTCGAAAACAACGCCACCATCTGACGAATTCTATGTATCCGAATCTAGAACGGCGCACATTTTCTAGCATTTGGCTTATTTATGAAATAACTCAATTTTATTTCTTTATGGGTTATTTAACACTCAGATTTCCCATCCGTGATACAGGTTTAGATGATATGATAGACAAATAGCTTTATGAAATGTACCAGATGTTCGTTTTTTATTGGTTCAATCATATAAATAGACATCAGTGTAGTAGTACATGTTCAAATGCCATAGTTGTAGAAGATCACCAAAGTGTATTTTGGAACGTTGATATTAGTCAAAGTGTCTCGGCAAATAAACTTGCTAGTTACCATTGTGCCTTCCAGAAAATATTTTAGGTTCATTATCTAGAGAATCATTACGGAACACGCATAAAAAAGAACGACCTAGTCCAAATTTCTTGTAAACTTTACATTGATCGAGTGCATTTTCCTAATCATGTTTGGTGATAGTGTCGAGAGAATATGAATCCTTACAAATCAACTTTTATTATACAACATAAACACGCAAGCTGTGAACAAACATTTTCATTATAGATAATAAGAGATACACAACCTTTTCCATCACCGTACGAAAGAGATATGGTGGGGGGGTTTTGCAGACTTTTCGACAGTTGGAAAAGTTAAAATTAAAACAAGTTCGTGTGCGATGAAAAAGGTTGTGTATCTCTTATTATCTATATTGAAATTCTTCACCTTACAAAATGAAACATTTTCATGGTTGAAAAAGTATGCAAATCAAATATATGGTACAGAAGGATAATGACCTATGTAGTACGTGGACTGAAAGAAAAAAATTTGCTTATTTTTTGTCTCAGTCCACGTACCAATTTGTTAATGTTAATGTTATTTTATTTGGAAAATTGTTAATATGTTGAAGTCAGACTAGATTTACATGATAATAAGAATCTTCTTCAAATAAAATATGTAAATGCTAAAAGAATCTCTGACCAATACCGATTCTTGTTGTTATTATTGTCACATTTGTTCAACTTCAACCAACATGTAATGAGCCAGCTCGATTTGTTGGACAATAAAAAAGTTTAGATTAATATCGGTATCAAAGCTTTTTTTTCAACATTTTAAAATCCGCTTTGGAGTCAACTTTGATTGTGCTTCATAGATATTCACATTGATTTGACGAATGTCATTATGATTGAGTGGTTAAAATTCTTTTGGTTTTCAAAATATCGAAGTGCTGGTGTATAACTGGAGATTTGATCATAAATCATTCCAATATTATTGTAGATTACTACGCAGTTTTCATTTATTATTTCATATTTTCTAGCGTTTATCTGAACTGCCTATGTGTCTTTCACATCATAAGAAAAGTATGATATAATAAATCAAAAGTCTCTTCCGGTTGTTAAATGATTAGATGGCAACGACGCTGAAGCAGTTGTTATAGCTTTCTGATAATAGTCTAATGTATTATCACTATCATAGTCATATGATGCGGCAAGATTATCATAATCGAAGCCAATTTTAGATGATCTTTTGGTATTTTGCGAAATAAATTTTTAAAGCTTTCTTATAATTTTGTATTGTTTCTTGTTAACATATTCCGTTTTGATCGAGCGCAAGTCATTACAATTTTGCTGTTGATGAAAGATCGTTAGAAGAGAAATGTTTTAGGCTGATGTTAAGGGCTTTTCAGAATAATTCAGTACGTCTTCGTTATCTCCTATACACGATATATGTCATCTACTACTTCATACTAAAAACCAAATAAGGCTCAGTCAGCAATCATGTAGTCTGAAATGTTTCACTGTAATGGTTTCAAAGTGCAACCTGAACTTTCTTTATTGTTCTCAGACCAGTAGGAATTATCTTCCTAATCGCTTTAAGAAGAGGAATTGAGCAAAAATAGTGATTCTACATTTCATTATAATACCGAATCATTTCACAACGTTTTCTAATTCGTGTAAGTGGAGTTGCAAAAAAATCTTCAAGTTATGGTACAATATAATTACATAATTATAGTTATAACTGAAGAGCAACTACAACTCGTTCCAATCGGTTACAAAAAACTCGATCATAAAAGCTGGTGGATACTAAGCGGTTACAAGACGGTCATACTCGTACTACTTCAGCAAGTTGCAATAGTGAGTTTGTGGAAAATATCATGTCCATCGTAGTTTCACAAAAAACTAGAATATTTGATCTGTTCTAGTTGATGTGGATAACAAAAAGTAGTTAAATTGAGAGAGAAGCTAAAACTTGCATACCACAAAATATGTATATTATCCCTGGTGAAGCCTTTTTCTCAAGCACATACCTCAAGATTGTCTCCATGCGCATGAATTTCTTACTTATGCAAAACGCTTGAGCTATGTGCTTGACTTTCATGCCTCACGCGTCCCAGTTGGTTGAAGTATGCACATGAGGGAACCCATGTGATAAAAATCGCTTAAAAATCGGCGACTTTTAGGTGACTTGGTGTTCGATTGTTGCGATGTTATGTCGCAATTAGTCGGCGAGTTTTTAGCGACCTTTTATTTTTAGTCGCGATTTATCAATGTTTTATCGGGACTAATCAGCGCTATTTTGCGACTTGTCTCTTATTTTTATAGAATACGTACGTTGGAACGTGTGCGAATAGTCGAACGCATTAGAACGGGAGGAAAAGTGGCAGAAAATGACATTCTAACGTGTTACAACGCGATGAAATCGGTCAAATCAACTTGTTCCAGTTAAAATTCTATCAAACTTGATCAATCTTTCCGAACACGTTGGAACCTGCTCTGTA